CTTCAATCTCCCAAAACCTTCTCATGTTGTCAGATAAATTATCCCCATTTCCATTCCACAAACCCACAAAAATTATCAACACTGCCTTGCTGCGGCATGCGCACTGACCCGCTAAACGATGTATCCAAAAACTGACTAATGGAGAATCAGGTCTTGCATATTTATTCTATTTGTTCCCAGTAAATCAAAAAATATTTCGTTAGATAATAAACATGTATTTGACCAGGTTTATAAAACTCTGGATCAGCTATACCAATGAGTTGCAACTGCTTAACATCAGAAATGTTTATATATCTAGCAGGCGTTACCCGAGTTATTTTTTGGAACAACAAAAATTGTAAGGTACGAATAAAATCTCTAGTAGCGTTAGCGATGGTTGCTATAGCTTTTTCCTTAACAACCCATAACTGTACCATTGATACCTGAAATAGAAGCGTTTATTTTTCTTTTCTTCAAATTCAATAACTCAGCACCTTGTTTAGTAATGAAAATTATTTTGAGAACCGGAATCCAAGCAAGGCTCTCAGCGAGAATAAATTTTCCATCATTACCCTTAACGAAAATAATCTGCAGTTGAAAGTAGAACTTGTTTATTAAAAGAACTGGAAATATTCAGTGCTGTTAATAGAATTTGCATGGTTGGTTTCATTAGTGTCACTAACCTTTTAGCTGCTTGCCAATGGAGTAAATTTATCAGCATTTGGAGAAAGATTACTGCTAAATTTATTAGTCTTGTTTGTGTTTTGATTCGATGTGCCGTTTGCTCTTTCGAAATTTTCTTCACTTCGATCAAAATGTAAGAGCGAATTGTGAAATTTATGACATTTTCTGTATGTATTAGAACTTTTAAAGTCCTTGATTGTGTGGACAGAAGATAAATAATTGAAACACATTTTTTTTTGTCTTTACAAATTCAAATAGTTTCTTGACTGTTAAATTTAAAAATTGCACACATTTCAACAATAAATGATCACCTTTACAATAAGGACAATTGTTTGAATTTTCCGAAAGTGATGTAAGAGCTTTGGTATTAAATGAACGTTTCGATTCCCCATGCGGAGGTTTGTAATGTGATAGGGTGCGAGCGTGTTCCTTCAAAAAACATGTCAGTTGTTTAAACCGTTCCTATCTCGTCTTTTTTAAGTGACCTTTCCCACCAACACCGAGTATTTCTATCCAACTTTTCAACTAATAAATAAACAATTAACGTGTCTGAAAATTCTTCCACCTTTTGCTCCAATGCTTTCCAAGGATCGTAAACATTCATGCATCCTTATCGATAAATTTTAAAAGTGACGAAGTAGAATCACTCGTTTGAGGTATAGAAATTAATTTCTTTATGATAGAAATTGATCAAATCTTTTTTGTTGCAATAGCGCTAACCAACAGATTCCATGCTATGTCATAATCATAATTCGAATCTGAAATTGGAATGGACTGAATAATATTTAAAGCGTCTGCCTTACACGAACTCTTTAAATATTGCAATTTTTGCGCATTAGTTAATTTGCTATTTTTATGCACAGCTGCGGAAAATAAATCCTCAAATTCAATCCATTCTTCGAATTTTCCCACTGAAATATTGGAAGAGACAATTTAGGATAATTTTACATCAAACAATTTTATATCCGAAACAATTATACTGTCTTTACTCGAAACCGTTTTCATTTGAGCAACTATTCCTTTGAGAACTGATCTCAGAAATTTTTTTTTTTCTTTTAATTTTCAAATGAAATTTCATCGAGATTATCTACTATATTTTCCTTTTCCTTAATGAATTCGTCAGTGTCCTTTTCCTTCACAATGTGCAAATAAAGAATCGAAACTCTTATTTTTGTGAAAATATTACTTAATTCCTTTTTAAATTCTAATATTTTTGATTCGTATAACTCCAATAAGGAAATATCTGCTTCATCCACTGTAGAATTTACCTTATTTTCAAACTTTGTGATACTGCATTTTAAGCTTTTTTTGTTAGCTTTAATCGCCTTTCAATTCACTCATCATGAACAAATAAATAATTTATCACTTACCGTGATTGCAGATTTCTCGACAGCAACACCGGAAAATGAAACGATGACACAGTATTCCAATCTTAATTGCGTAATCCACACGAAAACGAAAAGCATTCCAAACACTCTATATGAAGCTATCCGTAATACAACCAAAACGAAAGGTATTACCAAATGTTTCTAAAAAGTTAATTTTAGCAACGATATCTTTTACCTGTGGCTCGACGGGCCATAAAGTGTTCATGCGATGCGTGCGTTGTTTAACAACAATTTCAAATTAACTAGAAGTGGACTGTACTAAATATTTTATTCGACAACTTTAATCAAATGCGTGCCATCTTTCAAGCGATGACTTACTACTAACAACAACAGCAATAAAAAATAAAACTGAGTAAGCGTTTACAGGGTTGCTGTAATGAACATCTGCGCCATGCAAGGCGCCAAGAAGAGAAAAAATTACGTAATCCTACAGTTAAATAGTCTTAATGACTTAACAGGAGGAATTACGCCGCACGTATTGCGCAATAACGTTTGCGGTATTTTGCATTGATAATTAATTTTGATGTTCAATCTGAGATTTGTTTATGAACACTTAAAAGAGTTTTACTGTGCTTTCTAAGAGAATATTTCTCAGTTCCGTTTGTTTTTATATGATGCACAATATCGAAATGTCAAAATCATTTATTTAGCCAAAATTTAAATCTAAAGAACGGCTACAATCTCCCCCACTCCTCTTTTTCCAATTACTATGCGGAAATTTCCGAGTATGCTTTTACTGTTAAAGGATGACTGCATGAAGCAAAATCCCGTCTTCTGATTTCAGAAATGTGCCTCTTTTTTACTTAAATTACTTTGTTCGGGATATATGTTAACGGAAAACTGTTATGGAATGAAAATGTTCAGAATTTTGATTTAAGTTGAATTATTTAAATATTAATATGAGTGGAAAAATAAATTGTATTTATTATTAGGTGCCAAACGAATACAATTAATATGGCTTATTATTATTTATTTTGGAACTACTCTGATATGCGCCCTCAAGTCGCCAAATATTTTTGGCGAGAAACTTCACGCTGCCATATTACTGTCTAAATTTTTTGTCTACATTTTGAACTTTTAGCTTAAAATGTCTCCAAAAACGCTGTTTTCGCACATACAAAAACAACGTTTTGAACACACAATTTAGCTAAAAATCCGAAACAAAAACAAAAAATTTAGATAGCAAAAACGTAAAGTTTCTAAACCAAAATATTTGACAAGAATCCATGTACACAGCGACATGTTTTAACTTAAAAAAAAAAAAATCTACGAATTGCACAATGTAGGCAACGAACGAATCTACAAACTACGCAGACCTCGCTTTAATAAATTAACATAACAACAATAAATTTCAAAGAATACCATGTCAACAGCATCCTGTTTAAACTTAAAAAAAATTCCTACGAATTGCACAATTTAGGCGAGGAAGGAATCTACGATCTACGCACTCCTCGCTTTAATAAAATAACATAACAACAATAAATTTCAAATAATACCATGTACACAGCGTTCTGTTTCAACTTTAAAAAACATCTACGAATTGTACAGTCTAGACACTAAACAACAAAATAAACTAAAATAAATTTCAAACAATTTAAAAAAACAACAATAACGACAGAAATTCATACTCTTTTACATACAGAAATTCAACCAATGAACATAACATTCTACAAAATAAGAACAAGGATAAAATAAAATGCACTTACCATGAATTAATGCGTTTTCGAATAGCAGAAATATAAATTTCATACCGCCTTTAACATGCCGCCACGTAATCACTATCGTATTTACATGACAGCCAGACACACTATCCAGAAAATTTATACTATGGTTTACAAATAAATAAAATCACAAATCCCTACTTTTATCATGCACTGCCGTTAAAAATAATCTCCCAGACCCTGTTTCCACAGTTCCAATACCCACTACCCTCAACAGGATAGCCACAATCATATTTCCTTTTGCCGAACTTCAATTCAACAACTACCATTTTATCTTTCCCTCCCATCTTCTCAGACACAGAGGCGAACCAACGAGCTCCAGCGAAAGATTTTTCAACGTCAACAGGGTTGCCATAGAACACGCAATCGCGCCAAAAACCAGCGCAGAACACATATCGCCACATTTGGTGAAATTAGGGCATATATTAGAGTTGTACCTTTATTTTCTATATTTTCAGCTGAAATATCATCAGTAAATTTTGTAATATAGTTTAGTTCTGCATAGTTTTTTTTTCTCTCATTGTAAACTAATTCTGTAAATTGAACTGTCATTTAATTGTTTTCCATTTTTGAGGTAATGCTCATTCTCCTAATAAATATTGCATTGCTCATATTTTAAATTATGAGTCTAATTTTTCTTTTAAGGTTATGCAGTTGTGTATAATGTAATTAGACAGGTGCTTATTTTTCCTTAAAATGTGCATGAAAAGTGCTTATAGGTGCTTATTTTTTTAACTAAAATGTGGCTATGAACCCTGTAAACAGTGGTGTCAGTTGAAAATTATCATTACATCTGTTGCTAGATTTGCTTTGTGGCTACTTAAAGATGGAGTAACTACTCAACAATTAATGAGTTTTAACATATGATGAGTTAAAATCCCAGCAACAGTTTTGGTTGCTTAATTGTTTTCATAGTTTTCTACATATGTAATGTAAATATGAACCATTTCCTTTAGAAAAGCTGCTATGAAGATATCTCAACTTAGTTGATACCTTCTGAGTGCTTTGCTATATTTGCCTAAACTAATAACAGTTAATTTAAAATTAAAGATTTGGATCTAAATGTTCTTTTATAAAAAGATTATAAATTTCCTGCATGCATTTTATAACACTTGAAGATTTGTATGCATTTTATTCTTGTAAGATTTGTATTTATGAAAAAAAAATTGAAAATGTTCTGCCTTTGACTCTTTTTTCCCCTCGCCAAACAAATCCTTGCTTATTCTAGATCTGAGGAATACAAGTCAAAACAGCCTTCTGAAAGTGTAGAAAGTCATAATTCTAACACTTCTATGATGGGACGAGTGGATGAAATATTGAATTGTTCTCAGAATGCTGCCAATCAACAGTTTTCTGAATCTGAAGACTCGGACTGTGGTCTAGTCATTGATCTAGAGAGAAGACAGTCAGTTGAAGAACAGAGTAAGACTTACTAACTCATGTGTACTGTATAATTTATGTTTTCTATATATAATACAATTATATATATGTATTGATTGGTAAGCAATTTTTGATTCATCACAGTTGATAGGTAAAATTGAAAAATAAATGAACACAAATGTCATATCACGTATCCAATATGTCATATACATGAATTCAATTTCGTTAATAATTCAATTTAATGTTGTATTGTACTACATGTCATAAATTAACCCACAAGGAATGTATGTGTTAAATATTTTTAACCTAATATAGATTGCAACTTATTAATATTTTTTATAAAATACTTGTTAATAATAATTAATAAGCTATCCACCCTTGATCTATATTATATTCAGATAATTATTATGAAAAATTCTTAAGTAGGTCGATTCCAAAGTTTCAAGACTGATTTTATTAGGCTATATGACCTCTTTTCCAAGTTTGAATCCTTAACATTAAATTACACTTCACAGCATTTTATAAAAGATTCAAAACATGACACAAACTGTTTTGTGTCATCCTAAGTACTGCAGGCATGGCTTTTTCACTTCCTCATCAAAAGAGGATTTTTCATCTCATTTCTCTTCATCTTTTTCATCTTCTCACATAATTGCCATTTTAATATTACAACTCTTAAAAATCATGTCACTATCAAGCATTTTCATGGAATAAAACCATAGTTAAAAGATTTGCATAGCATTCACATAATAATCACTGTTTATTATTTTTCAGTGGTTATGCAATGATGTTGTTTAAGGCCCCACTTTCTACCCCCCCCCCCCCCCCCCCCGAAAAATTGTAGCATATTCCATATAAAAAAAATCTGATGTGTACACCACGACTTCCTTGTACGGAATATTAAATTATACGCATTTTTTCTTGCATTTCATGTAAACTTATTGGATTGAATTAAATCTACTTCATCGACAGTGCATAAACCACAATAGAATAAATGCATTCTTTAAAATTCACTCTAGTATTTGTTTGCCTTAGCGACACTCTGGCGCTAGATTCACTTAACAGTATTATATTTAGTTCATATTATAACTCATAATGCACAAAATTTATATCATTTAAAGAATAGAATTATCTAATCGTTGCCACATGTTCTATTCAAATACAATAATAAAGCTAGAATGATGTATAAAAGAAATTAAGCAAACAAAACAAAAAATAAAAAAGTTTTTCACAGACGATTAAGTATTTCTCATTCAATTAATTCAGTTCTCACTTCGTGAGAAGGCAAAAATACATAAAAACTCAAAATATATATATTAAAAATTACGAAGTAAATCTTAAACACTTATTTCCTCAAAAAAATTCCAGAAAGAATTAAGCATGATTTAATTGGCAATAATAAGTGAAGGTGTTATCTTTGTTGTTGCGAAGCTAAGTTTCTCTAGATTGGCAACAAATCCACTAGTCTGCTTTTTCAAATGTAAACAATCAATGGCCGCCATAAAAAAAAAGGCTTAACGGCACTTAAACAACTTTAAAATTGTTGACAATTCTAAAAATATTGCACACAGATTTACTAAAGGCATAAAAACCTTAACCGGAAGATAAAAACAACATAATTCAATCATTTTTAAAGCAAAAAATGTACAAATCACAAACATAAAAGAGTAAAGAAACTGAGATCACTGACTCGGGTAACAGAGTGGATATATATATAAATATATTTATATACGTTTGGTGCGGCCGATTGCAACGAAAATACGAGGTGCACATCTACATTTTATAGCAGTCCTATATACAAAATTTAAACGTTCTGAGGCTACTCGTTTTTGAGTTATGCGAGATAACGTACGTACGTACATACATACGTTCGTACAGACGCCACGAAAAATTCTCTTTAGAATTAATTTTAAAGCAGTTTATAATTTTTTGGAGGAAACGAGTCTTTTATTCTGTGCTTACGTACAGATATCACACAAAAACATCGTTAAATTACATTTGATAGCGGTCAAAATGGATATTTTCATTGAAATATGCTGCCTGAAACTTTTCGCGATTACAATACTTCCTTTTTCCTTTTTACTTCGTACACAAGGAAGTAAAAATGGACTCATATCCCTCATAAAGGGCCCCATATCTTAAATAGCTTAGGATCTCATCAAATCTAAATCCGGTCCTGCTTGTGCATGACTGCCTTGAAATATCTTTGTTGTTGAAATGCTGATAAATGGCTAAATGTTTCATCAATTTATACATACTGTAATATTTCAAATGTTTTAATATGGCTTTTCCTAAGTTTAACACAATATTCAATCACATTTCTGCAGCATTATTGTCTGAAAGATGTCTTCCTTACCCACCATGACAGAACATCCTAGATGTTTTCATTTCTGTAGCTGTGATTCGTAGTTGTACAGCTGCAGGTTCAAACATTTTGATCTTTGCGAAACTCTCAGTACAGGTTACCATGTCTAATGTGTTCAGAAACAGTCCATGAAACCTAGTCAACCCTTTTAGTTAATTTTGTAACTTCTGAATTTGACTTTTAATTCTTTGAAAACGTTTGGCTTAAAAAAGAAGTTTGATTTTTTTTTCTTTTAACTCTGATGTAAAATCCCCTTGCCATTTGTTAAACTATGTACTTTTATTTTAGAACAGTATAAATGATATTAATATTAAATCGAAAGAAATATGAGAAATAATAATTTGATAAATATTTGCTTTTATTAAAATAATTTATTAGAATTTCACCAGAAATTTACTTTCAGATTACGTTTGCATAAAGTTATGAACATTCAAAAGATAAAATTGTTTTTCTTAAATGTGATATTTAATTTAAATTATAATATTTTGATGTATGATTTATATTTGCTGTATCATCTCCTGTTTTTCAATCCACTTTTGAAGAACCAAAAGAAGCAGCAAGTGTGGACCAGAACTTCGATGATTGTGTTATTAAGAAAGAAAAGGCTTCTCCTGTTATGCATGAGGAAATCAATCATATACCTGTTGAAAATACAGAGGAAGATGATGATTGTATACTTTTGCAGCCATCAGATAACATTCCATCAGTCTTCAGTAATCACATAGACAAACCTTTATTAGAAAGTTCATTTTCTGCACTAGGCTCCAGTCACGACAAAAAGATGAAAAATCAAGAGAGAGATGAATCCATATTAAGGACACTCCTACTAGAAACAGGTGAAATAGCTGCTGGAACTTCTCAGGTATTTATGAAATTTCTATATTTGCTTTAAAAAGTAAGCTGTATATTATTAGGATTTCCTAAGAGTTAGTTTGCTGAACAAAAATTTTTAAATAAGTAAATAAATAATACTTAGAATTAATTTCTCTAAATTAGAGGGGTTTTATTCCTATTGATTCTACTATGGCGTTCGAACTAAAAAGGTGGAGGATGATAATTTGTCACCATAAGATTTTGTGATGGATCCATTAATCCCCAGTCGCCCTTTAAAAGGGAGAGTATATAAGATACTTTCTATCTCTTTTCCACATGCCTCCGTGGTGTAACTGGAAGCATGCTTGATGTGTATTCGAGAGGTATGTAGTTTGAATTCTGGTGAGCACATTGTGAATTTTTTCAATTTCCTGACATTGAAAGATTCTGAGCAGCAGCCGAAAAAAGCAGCAAGTGTCGACAAGCTACAAGTTACCCCATAATAATTCAAAAAAGGACGAATCTGCATGATCTACTCTTTCAGAAGAAATAATATTAAATTAATGTGATCCCCATTCTTGACTTGCTATTTACAAATGAATTAATATATTCTCTTGTCACTTATGGTCCAGATCAAGGTGACAACAGTAACTTTAATACACAGAAAGTAGACAATTCAGGGTGAAGATTTACAAAAAATTGGTTTTATGGTAAACCAATTATTGGGGAAGCTGATAGAAGAAAATGGATTTTATATTCCATTCATCAAAATGCATTATTTTGCTTTCCTGCATTTAGACCCACAGAAAATATTTCAAGGTTGAAGGCAATTTCAACAAGTTATTTCCCAACACAAAAATTCTCTAGAGCACCCAAAATCCATATGTGGAATGGAAAGTAATGGGAAAAAGTCTAAAATCAAGAAATACAGTGGCGTAAAGTACTGAAAATAATACTAGATGCTATTTTGTTATGTGCCAAAAATAATATTGCGCTTACAGGTTTAATTGAAATTATTGAAGATACAAACTGTGATATTTAAAAAAACAATTATTGAATTTGCTAGCAATTATAATACTACTTTAAAGGAACAAATGAGAAAACAGAAAAGGTGCAGTTTCATATTTCTCACATATATTCAAAATGAAATTGTAGAGTCATTAGTTTATTTTGAAGCAAGAGACATGAAAAATGAGCAGTGCTGTCGCTGAACCTGGATCTCTAGAATATGCACTGAGTGTGCTATCGTTGCACAACGAAGGTATGTAGAAAGAAGAGAGAAAATACCTTATATATTCCCCTTTTTAAACACGATTTGGGAATCGCCAAATCCTGGTGGTAATAAACATCATCCACCACCTTTTAGTTCGGGTGCCACTGTAGAGTCATTAGGACTTTGAAGCAGAAGACATGAAAAATGAGCAATTCCCTTGCCAGGACTTGAACCTGGACCTCTCGAATATGCTCCGAGTGTGCTACCATTACACCATGAAGGCATGTAGAAAGAAGGGAGAAAATACCCCTTTTTAAAGGGCGACTGGGGAGGAGGGGATCTAATCCCCAAATCCTGCTGGTGAGGAATTATCATCCACTACCTTTTAGTTTGGGCGCCACTTGTAGATTTATTAGGTTATTTTTTAACTTTATTAATATGCATTAATTAACATGGCATGCAAATAGAAATTACTTTATATTTTTAGTTGTAGAATCAGATAAAATGTGATAAAAATATAATCTCTATTATTATTTTCGATCAAAATGTATTTGTACTACAGAAAAAAAGAGAGTCCAGTTATAGGCTGTAGTCCCAATTAGCCTAGATAAATGAGTTCTGTTATATTATTAAAAAACCAATTATACTTATCAACTTCCACATTAAATTATAGGATATACTGGAGAATCAGCGTTCAAGTTCAGCAATTTCTATAGACTCAAAAGCAAGCATTAATCAGGATGTTATGAAACTTCTTATGTACCAAACATACCATGAAATGTCTCCATGTGGTTCTTCACCTGATTTCGATGAAAAGAAATTTCCACTAGGTAAAAATATTTCAGCTCCTATTTCTATGAATATATTGCTAAATTATCTGCCCAAATGTTGGATTCACACAATTTAATGAAAAGCATAGAAAATGATTTTAGTATTTGTAAAATTTGTGTTACATGTACAGTAATTTAAGAGCAATGAAATAATTCATTACAGATCAACTGCCGACAGATATTAATGCCAATTTGCTCTCAGATTCAGAAGAATGGAGTAGAGATCCTCGTTTCATAAAAGAAAAAATAAAAAAACTCAAGCATGAAATTGTGTATCTGCAGTGTATGGCAGAGCAAAAAGATAAAGAGCGTACAGCCATTGTGTGCTTTAAGAGGTATTTTTTAAATTATTTATTATTTTCCTTCTTATAATGCTTCACTACTGTTACGAGTTCTTAATAAAATTATTACAGCAAGTCATGTATATTTAAAGAATAAAAATTATTCTTATTTTGATTCTGATATAAAAATTTTAGGAATGTAAAACATCATTATGTTGTTATTATTACTGATACTCCTCATCTAAATCAAATCAAATCAGATCAGATCCGTAAAATTAACCATATTTTCATATAAATTATGGTCATTATATAGATCTTTTATAAAAACTCAATGACTGTGTAATCAGTTAATATTTGTATCTAACTTTTTACTAGTGTATTACCAAGTTTATCCACATGATACATATACAATAATTAATAATTTATTTAATTTATATAATTAGCCAAATACAGCACTTTTTTGTTTCTTTAGTTTATATTTCTTTTGAAAAATTATAATTTTAAATGAAATGAGTTATTTTATTTTTGAAATAGTTTATATGATTGTCTTTTGTATTGTCGCCAAAATGAAAAATCTGATTTTCAGATATTTAAAAGTACATCACAAATAATATTACAATGCCGTAAATAATAAGCACATAAAAATTACAATGAAAAAAGAATATTAATCCTTCAACTTACTTTTTGAGTGTTTTGAATGCAACTTTTAGGCCCCTTCCTCCCAAAAATATAATATAAATTCTTCAAAATTGGCATCAGAATCCAGTTTGTAAAATTCATTTTCACTCATTGGGATGTCTGGATTCATATCATCATCACTTTCAAAACTTTCCGTCCTAAAATTGTATGTCCTTTTTGTACACAAGATTGTCCTCTCTGCCATCAAGTTAGTGATGTGGCACTTTTTAAAACCTCAAAATATCATTTCAGAATGGAATTCCAACCATGCAACCTTTATTAAATCTATTCTTTTTAAAATTTCCTTTTTTCATTATTGCATCATCTTCTGCCATCATCCACTCCATCCATTTGCTAAAGCCATTCCTTAAATGGCTTAAATGGCTTATTTGGCTTATTTAAACAAACATTCAGTGATAGATGTTAATAATCCTGGTATTACAACTAATTTTGCTTTCATTCACTGCACTTGTCTTTCACTTTATCAGCAAATTTTGAATGAGTCTGAAACCAGCTAGAACAGATTATTAAATACTGCACTTTTTTTTCCCAGCTCCATTTTCTTTTCAGCGAGTCCAATGTGCTATATTTATCTATTCAGCTTTTTGGGATTTTATACCCTTAGGCAGAATCTTTCATATGAAAATAATTGTAGGTGGTAAACAGGTTTGATCTGCCATGGGCACAAAACTACCATAAAATAGCATTTTTCTTGATTCGTCGTCTTCATGAAAATGGTTTTAGAACCTTTAGTATGACAGCGTACAAATAATTTGACATCAAATCAAATGACTCAGGAGTTTCGTCCATACTGCCAATTTGACACAACTAAAAACCATATTCTTTTCGTAATTTTATCATGTATTATTCATTAGCTTAAATTTTTGCTTCTAACTCTGAAGGGAATTTTTATGCAACTCTAGTTCATAAAATGATTGTACCATCCCACACAGGCAACGAAATCCCCTGGCTTGCTTTGAATAAATTCGGGTTGCTTCATCATGTTCAGCTCCTTAACTGAGATAACTGCATGGCTTAAATAAAACTTTCCATTTCTGATTCTTAAATACAAATGATGAATTTTTTCTGCCTAGCATAAAACATAGGCCATGCTTACCTGATTTTTGGCTTCTCCACTAATTCAGGGTTCGTACGGTCCTTAGATATTTTGGAATCGATTTTTGGTCCTTAATTTTGACCAAAAGCAGCAGAAGGTCTTTAATTTTAATGATCTGAAATTTTTGTCTGTTTTTACGACTGCCATTTTGAGTGAGAATTAGCATTTTGGAGGAATATTTTTGGCGATTCACTGACATATATGCAAGAAGTGAAGCATAAGCATTTCGAAATTCACTTTTTCTAATAAAAAGCTCTTAAAAATTTTTCACATTTGGGGATGTGAATTCTTGTATTAAATATTTCTAAATTTGTCGACTTTTCAACATTTTGGCGATTTTAAGATCAGTTCTATAGAAACTTTTAAATTCTGAGATGTGAGAAACTTTTGACGATTCTTTTTTTAAATCGTAACATTGATAAACTTTATTAAAATAATGGTAATATATTGAAATTATATTTAAAAATAACATTAAAATAAACATTTTTTTTTCTGTCATATTATAAAAGTTTCATTTTGGCAACTTATTATACAATATTTTTTAAATCTGGCTATAAAGTACAATTTACGAAACAGCTCTTAGCAAAAGCAAAATAAACTATGTAATTTAAAATTTTTCATAGTAAGAGTTTCTCCCATATAATTGCCTCAGAATATTCAAAATTGTCAGAATGTGCATCAGTTTTCGCAATAAAATTAATTTTACACTCTCCCCCCCCCATTTTTTCCAAAATATTTCTGGCTTTTTGCTGTTACAGAAATGATAGGGATAATTTTTCTTTAGGATTTTAGACAATGCAGCTTGGAAAGCTTAGAAGGATTTGAAGGCAAGATTTATAGAGCCACGATTTTAGAAGATTCGAGAAATATGTGACAAAATGAAAAAAGTCTCCATGGTATCAACACGTAATAGATGTATTTAATAGAACGTTTGCGATGAATTTCTTACATTTTGGATAATGTCTGGAAGAACAATGAAAACATAATGTTTAAATGTTTTACTTTAAACTTTAATGTTTTCTCATTTTTGATACTATAATCTTAACATGTTTATCTTCTCTTTATTTTTCTACTTTTCACTAGACACAAGCATGCAAAATATCAAAAACGCTTCTAATCTTATCACATGGGTAGGCAATTATAGAAAGGGATTTTTTTATTAATATAGAATTTGAAAACTTACAATTTAAAAGATTCATCTGATATGTCTTAATGCATCATACACATGCTGGCACTAGGTATTTTCCCACCTGATTCAATCTCCTTGGATTCTAAATTCTGCTGCCTAGTGTCTTTCTAAATTATGCTTCCAATACCTGCTCTAAATTCTAAAAGTTTTCCCATTTCTAGATTTCGTTGTTTGGTGTATCACTAAATTCTAGAAATTCTGCCACATCAGCCCCACCAGCGTTTACTATATATATTTCATATTTCTTCTGAATGTTCGTATTACTAAATAAATAAAATTAGCCTCTTTTTCTGTACATTCTAAAATGCATTTAGTGTTTTTTAGAATAACAGAAATCCTTAATTAAATCCAAAAATTCTAAAATGAAAAGGAAACGTGTTGAAGAAAGAAACCGAATACATAAAGAAAATTATTCTCCAAAGATATGTGCAGTTATTATTATTTAAATTACCCAATTGTTTATGAGTTCAGCCTTTACTATAATTTCCCATTTTAATTTCCTCATATGATAGAGTTACTGAGCCAGATAAAATTAAAATTAAATTGTATAATCTTTGACCAATTGTCCACATTATTAGTTTGAATTTGACTGTTCTTGTTTAATTACGTAACCGTGAGCTGTAATTGATTTTGTTAGCATCAACTTGCTTTTATGTTCTAAGATTTTTTTAAATAAGAGGCTTATTTAAACCTTTGTCTGATATTGTAGTTACTTTCAGACATAGTGGTAATATGCTTCGTGTCTGTCGGGGGTTTTGGACTATAACTTTTATCAGATCAAGTAAACCCTCATAACTACATTGTGGAGAGAGGTTGACAAGTTAGGGAGATACAGCACACAGAAACTAGCAAGAGTAACATTGTTTTGCATAATTGAGACAGAATCTTTTTTAATTCTTAGAAAAGATGCTTAAAGAGAAAGAAATCAATATAAACTTAGCCAAAATGTCTGGGCACGGCTTCGGAATTAAAATAATGACGCATAAATATTTTGTTGAGTGTTGTTGCTACAAAACATTTAATGTTTTATGTATGATTATCCTAATATTGTCTAAGAATCAGTGACATAAATAGCATGTATTTTAAACTGTGAAATTTTATTAGATTGTGATTTTTAATAGGGCTTTTTTAACAAATATTGTTAAAAAATAAAATTTTATAGTGGTCATGTAAATCCATAATGACTAAGGTTATCACATGTTTATAACTATGCTTACCCTTAAAAATTATCTCTACATATTAAGCGAGTTATTGCATTTCAATAATAATCACTGTGGTCCCAAGATAAAATTAAAAAATGTAAAGATTCGAGTAAAACTTATTCTTTGCATCTAAGTGAGACTTAAAATAATACAAAACAACTTATCACCTGTGGTGCTTTAATGGCTGATTGGAACCTTAAAGTATATTAACTGGATTATAACCCCTGGAACTCTACACGAAGCTATGACACTAACTGCAAACAGAGCCTGACTAACTTTCAACACTTGCCAACCATGCCTACATCAAGCCTTTCAGGTTTGTTCTAATCAGCAGGTCTCTCTCTAGACAAGCAGCAGCATTGACAGCATTCAGTCTTTTGTTATGAATCATGCTGATTATGGTCTTACTTCTCATTTTAACCTATGCCGTTTGACATAAAATTTACCTGCTATTTACTAACCCTCTAGACTGACCAAGTATGTGACAAAATGAGACATTTAAAAAAAAAAAAAAAAAAAAAAAAAAAAAAAAAAAAAAATCAACATAAAGCTAACTGTTAGTAAAACATAAATGTCACTTATCTTCTTTTAAATATAACAAACTATTATAAGTTTAAATATTAAATGCTACTTGATAAATTGAATAAAGTTTATTTTATTCTCAAACTTATTAATAATTATGTTAATACAAAATTGAAATTCAGGCATAGATAATATTGTTAATTGAATTTATTCAGTTCCCATTTGCTCATAGGTCCTTAACCCGGCGGAAGGCGCGTCAAGAAAAGTTACTAGAGTGGGCGCGTGGGATATCATATACCCCAATATTTAAAACACGGTAAAAGTAATTTTATTTAATTGTAGAGATTTATTTTCTTTTATAACACATGAATAATACTTGGGTTATAAGAAATTAATTTCCAAAATAAGCTTATAGAGAGTTAAAATTAAGATAAATAAAAATAATAATAAAATAAAAATCATTTCCTTGGTCTTATTGCTTCTCTAATACACAATCCTTATTTGATCTGTTTACACTTAATAAAATACATTCATGTGTTCTTGGCACAGAAAGTTCTCATTTTAGACATCGCATTTGAGTTCTTCTGTCCCTGGCTCAAGAGCATTCATCAAATCTTTTATACTTAGTTGTTTCGAATTTCATATATTCGTTTGAATTATTCGTCGAAACTTCTGCTCTTTTTTTTTTTTTTTTTGCACACAGTACGTAAGTCTCTGAATATAAATAAAGTATTAATATCTGGTCATTGTTCAGTACTTTTTTTTTTAACTGTAATGTTATGTCCCTCAAAAATAGGCATCGGCTTCAGTATCTGGTTGGTGGAGTAGCAGTTGAAAGTATTATAATTCGAAAATCATTTGCAGCAACCTTTAGTGCAGAAAATAAAATTAGCATTGCCCACCTCCTTTTTATTCTATCAACTGAAAAACTTGCTGATATTTCATCCACAGTGTCCACTGCTCCCTTAGTAATATTATAAAAACATATAATTTCTTGTGTTTTCATTTCTCCAGGAGTATCATCTACAGCAGCATCGTTATGTAATGTTGAAAGCGTTAGAACAGTTTTTCCTTCTCTTAGGAACATAAGAAATTAATGTTTAATTTTTTTTCCGAAACCCAAACAGTGTAGAAAATATTCCTATCTTCATTTTCAGTTTCCGAAATGCAATCTTCATCACTTTCAACAATTTCTAATATTCTCACAGTATCATCTCATTTGCATAATAAATTAAAATTTAAAATGTTTCAAAAAATCGTTACGAGTGAAAATTTATGTTTCACTCAAAAAATTAAAATTATCCAAATAAATTTTCAATAAATTTACAAAGCACTTATGAGTCGGTTGAAACGGGGGCGCAGCCCTCAGCCCACCCAACCAAGAACACTTGGTCATATGACTTATCACAAGGGCCGGCCCATCTAACAACAAACGAGGGGCCAGAGACCCGGCCGTGCTCAAAAAACTAACAAAGAAAAACAAACAAATAAAATATTAAACTATGAATCCCGGGAAACCAAAAGCCCCAGGAACCGAGTAACAAAAAAGTTAGAAAAAAGAGAACTAAACAAAATCATAAATACGACCAGTGAATTTCATGTCATCACTGGACCTTAAACATTCACACAAAAGAACATAATAAAATAATAAAGAACTGTTAGAAAATAAAAATAAGACAACACATAACCAAGCAAATACAATACAAAAACACCATTCACACATAGATTCCTATGGCTTCTCTTGAGCTATTCACAATCTTCATAATTTGTCTAGAATATTCCACAAAGTTCTTATAATTTTTCTTGAAATCACTTCTATAATATTTTTGATATCTATCCCTTGCACTCCCAGTAATAATACAGTTCTCAAAGAAATGCATAGAGTCTCCAGTGACATTACAAATATTACATTTATCATTGTCCTGCAATCCAAAACGTTTCAAATATGCAGGGAAGCGTCCATGTCCCGTAAGCATTTGATTGGCATCTATATCTTTATATAACTTCATTTTCTTTTCAATATTTATATTTTTCAGTAAACCACAATTTCTATTAGATTGTTCCCAATTATTTTTCCATTCGTTCAATACATAATTATATAGAGTAGAGGTGGCCCTTCTTCTAGAGTCTGGGATATTTTTAATAATCACATTTTCATCCACAGCTGCAGACTTAGCTAATTCGTCCGCCCTCTCATTCCCTTCATATCCTGCATGTGCTTTTATCCAGTGAAGCTTAATATTATGTATATCTTTCAATTGTGCATATGTCTTTTTTATTTCAAATACAAGAGAGTTTTTACTTTCAGGACCCGAGAGGGTCTGTAGCACCGACAATGCATCAGAATAAATATTTATATTATATCTAATTTTCAATGTGCCTTTAATCCAATTGAGAGCTTCAAAAATAGCATACATTTCTGCTTGATAGACAGAATTCATAGAATTTAAACGAAATTTCCAATTTTGTATTTCAATTCCATAGAAGAATACCACGATCGCACCTCCAATACCCCCCTCGAGTCCTGAACCATCTGTGAAAATATTCATTTCCTGACATTCGAGAAATGCACAGTCATAAGGAATCAAAATCTTATTACTAGGATGAATACAATCATCATCAAAATTTAGAAACGCTTCACTTTTAATAACACATTCATTTATATCTATATGATCAACCAAATTATTCGAAAGTAAAAATTTTTTATAATAAAAATTATACTGGAATGAGAGGGGCGGGACACCAGCAAGGAGGCAGACCACCTCTGTAGAGACTGTCCTGAAGACTCTCGTAACTGCCAGCATCCAGCTTCTCTGCAAAGTATTCAATTTATCTCGCAAGCGGATCAACTCCCCTGCCCTAGCACCCCAAGCACCTATTCCATAGAAAATCTTAGGTAAGATAACACTGTTAAAAATTCTCTTCAGTATCAGCGCTTTTTTATGCAAAAATTTTCAGGTGCGTGGGGTGTGTTATACCCCAGTTGCAACAAAATACCGATAAATATTTTTCTGAAACACACAGGCAAAGGAAAAGCAGTTCTGAAAGTCAACCACTGCTAGAAACTCAGCTACTGAATGCAGCACAGAATTTCAGTTTCACAAGTTAGGGATATTCCACTTTTTTGTAGAGGTGGGGTATGATACACCCCACGCGCCTTCCCGCGGGTTAATTTTTTTCATTAATGGTCCTTAATTTCCGTGAAATGTGTACAAACCCTGTAATTCAAGATGTTTTTTCCTTCCACTGTTGATTTTTTCATTTATGGAGAAATGCTGAGCAGCCATACTGTCGTTACGAGTTTTCAGCAAATGCATTACCTGTAGTTTGAAATTTGCCATATAAGAATTTTATCTTTCCACTAATCTTTCAGACAAAAAATAAAATGCCGAGACTAGTACACATACCACAGATTGTATACAAGACAGGAAACAAATAGAAAAAGTGTGCAAGTTCCAGATAAGGTTTACCGGAGTTAAAACTCTCACTGTTGGCTTCTGGTGTTTTACTTTATAGCGATTTAATTGGAAAATATTCCTCTTGATAGACTTGTTTGGCAACAAGACATGTTTAACCATTACAGGACTTCCCCTCCCCCATTTCAGTTTATGTACAGGTTTTGAATTTGGGGTAAATATTTGAATTTCGGGTAATTTGTGGTAAGAAAAAATTCTCTTGGCTTATATTCGGAAATATATGATATTTTAAACCTCAGCTAGCCATGTTATAAAGTATGGAACAGAATTGATTAAAATACAGTCAGGTGTACTCTTGAAATGTAGCAATTGATTTATTTATTAATCTCTTAATTGTATTAAACTTGAGATTCTTAATATATAATGTTTGTTTCATAGCAATATTAAACTCGCTTGTAAAGAATTTGTTATACATGTAGGAACTAAGAAAATTACTAAATTGTGTTGTGAATATAATCATATAAATATGTAAAATTACGTAATGTAATATGTGTTTGAAAATATTTTGCATGCGTTAGAATTCATATTACGAAATAAAAACGAGTGACTCTTACAAAATTTTAATTCATGCAGATACAAAGAAGAAGTCTTGAGACGTTTGATCAAAGATTATGCCTTTAATGTGCAAGATCACGTTCGGGACTGGATTCGTTCTCGGAGGGAGAATACTTCATCTGAATCCAGAAGTTCCTCCAGTCAGCAACAATCATCACCTTCAACGTCATCACAACATCCACTTCAATCAGAAGGTTCATATAAACTTTCCATAATCCTGCCTTTCATATCACTAAAAGCTGATGCTGATTATGCTGCATAATATTCTTTACATATATTAAGTTTGATCATGTTAAAACATTCATTTAATTACTAAACTAAAACGTTCATTTAATTACTAAACTTACGCCGTTCTGAATTTAAACTCTCATAACATTTTCTGGGTATTTTTATAGATTTCACACTACTTTATATAAATGCAGCATTTTTTCCCCGATCATCAGCTATCAGTAGTAAGAGAACCAAGCAATGAAACTTGCTTGTGTGAGAAAACTGATCTTAGAATCCATATTCTTTTTATCTAAAGTCCTAAGAAAGAATTTAATGAAGCCTAGTTTTATAAAGCTGAGGCAAATAAATATTTCTTTGTTTACTAAGACTTCATGTATCATATTTTCCAAATTTTAAATGAATATTTTCTAATTGTTCTTGGAATTATGATAGTGCTTTTCCTATATAACAGTTCTCTGTAATCTTACTTATTGTTACATTTGAATGCAGCGATTTCTGGATATTCATGATTATGCAATAGACTCATTTCTGAAGACAGGTATATTGACAACTCTCTTACTTTGAAACTTTTACCAATAAAATCACTTTTTATGATGGTGCATTCCATAGTAACCAGTAAGGGAACTTAATGAACTCATCCAAATCCAGTCCTTTGGTGCATTGTAAAATTGTTAATAGTTCAGAAGATCAAAGCTTCAACTCATCATTATAAATTTTAGAGGTATTTTCTCTTTTTAATGTATGAACGCCTTCTAGTACCTTTGTATACTGTCAGCTGATGCGAATTGCAAAGATATGAAGGATATCTTGAAATGATCTGGTTAAATAGCTCTATCTTTTCTTAACCCTTTGCGCTCGAGGCGCTTTTCTGTCGAGTGAACCAGCAACTCGAGAGTAATCAGCCACTCCCACTTATATCATGAGTTCCTTATTGTTAACTTAAAATAATTTTTGACACAATAAAACACTTTAAACTCGTATATTTTAACATTATACATATTTTTTTAAACTTAATGAAACGTATGTATTAAACATTACATTCTAAAATTTTGCTTCGTATGATATTTTACAAAACAATCTCCAATATGCATCCTTGGCTTGTCGGGGCATGTGTCACAGTAGTATACAGTTTGTCACTTTTGGGACGTTCTTTGGGAGCAAACCTTGCAATCTTTTTTTTTTTTTCCCATCAAAATAATATGCAACTTCCCATTTAGTCGGATCGCTTAAAAAATGCTGTATGAAGTAGAAGCTGTGCTGGGTTGTTTTTGTCGAAAGTCTCCTCTCAGTTGATCCACTAAAGTCTTCAAATATTGTAGGTGAGTAAGCAGCCATTCGTTTCTCTGCTTCTTTACTGATTTATAAAGAATGTATGAATTGATGGAGCAGATCTCCAAACTCTCAAAAAATAGTTTTCGCCACCATTTTACAGATTTTCTTAAAAAACAATATGTCGAAGCCAGTTGGTCAGCTCGATCAACACCACTCATAAATTTGATGTAATTTACAATAACATTGGGCTTTTTTATAACGACTTCAATACCGCCTCATAGAGTTCTTCTTACAGGAGTTATTCCCGCATTATTCCAAGTAGTCAAAGCCGGCACAATCCTCTTGTCCTTCCACGCAAAAACCAAAATATTACCTTTATGATATGCACATGTGGTTCGATTTTCAAATTTTGGCTTTCGTATTTCACATGGCAGGTGCTTTCTATTTGTCATGATCATCCCACTTAAGTGGCACTTTTGTTTGCGTAATTCTTCTGCCAATATGTAACTCGTATAATAACGGTCCGTGAACATGTGGTGTCTGTCCCTGAACACCGGGAATTTAATCCTGTATCATTTTATATAGATGTAGCATTATTCTGTTTGATACCGGTAGATCGGGTCTTATTAAAGTTTCTGTTGTTAGAGATCCATAATATGGCAGAATAGCACAAATGAAGACGGTATTTGAATCTGCAAGCGTATAAACCCGAATACCCCATTTTGTAGGTTTCATTGGATTGTACGTAATGAATGATATGCGGCCTTTGAATTTGACAGTCGACTCATCCACACAAATCTGCTCTCCGGGTACAAAATAATTCAAGAACCTTTCATTTATATACTCGAGGAAACCAGATACTAACTGCAAACGGGTTCTAGGGTTTGTGTTTTCTGAGGGTATTGTCTTGAGGTGAAGTCTCCAAAATATTTGACAAAATCGGTCTCTCGTAAACGTGTCTGAGTAAAACGGAATATAACTAGTATCATTTTTTCGACCAGTATTCTTGTATGTTTGCCAGTGGCATTGTCCCCATATTTATGATTGCCCCAATAAACGCCCAAAATTCGGTAACTGTTACATCGTACCATGATCGCCATATAGAACGGGATGATAAGGTCTTCCCTTCCACCTTCCTTGCAGCGTTATTGTTAGTTTCCTGCACTATGTCAGTAACTAATTCCTCGGTGAAAAATAATTTGAAAAAATCTATTGGTTCTTTTATGTGTGCAAATACGTGCGGTCCTACTTGTCTTTCACCGGATACAAACGGTATTCTTCTGGGGATTTCTTCGGATTCTGTGCACACTGTCCATTCTGAAGGTTCAGTCTCTTCTGTGTCACAATCACTTTGGCTTCCAGATTCACTATCGATTATTCGATTTTTCGTCTTCTTGCTCCTCTAACGTCGTCACTATCTTTATCACTTCCGTCTTCGTTCTCATGGGCAAGCTGTCTATGTAGTGATGTAATTTCGTTCGTTATTGCCGAAAAATTAAACTCATCTTCGCTAGAAGTAACTTCTTCGTCGTGTTCCATACTTATTGGGCTCAGTAACTTTGAAAGAAATACTGCGATCGGCAAGAAGGTTGAGTTCGAACTGATGTCGAAGACAGAGTCCTACCCGCGGTCGCAAGTATTTTTGAGATAAGACATTTAATCGCATAAGCATTGCAAAGACAACCTTTATTTGAGATAAGACATCCTTATAGCTATTCAGACACCTCGTAATATGATCTACAAAAGGCCAAGTAGATCTCTCAAGCGATATTCCTTAGGTCAAACACAAATAAACACATCGATTCGATTGGTGCCTCTCAGGCACCGCTCGAGTTATCGCATCACATGCAGTGGTGCCTGAGAGGCACCGCTCAAATGCAAAGGGTTAAATGTTCCAAATATTTTTATACTCTTATTATGCCTATAATGTAGGAAAATGTTTAAATATTTCATTATTAAGAAGTAAAGGTTAATTTATAAAGAACTATATTATGTAGCAGATATATAAATTCTAAAATATGTCATCAAATATTGTGGGGAAATCCACAAATGCATATTTATATCAGAAGTAAGTATCAGTGAGTTAGGTAACTGCTTCATTTTCTGGCATTTCCAACATACATAATTTGCAATGAAATTTTAATACAGAAAAGCATCGCCAATCATTATTGTAATATTGGGAATGGATAATACCAGTGTGAGTTGTATTTTTCAAAATATACTGGCTCTGGCAATAAATTCATATTATAATAGTTAAGTTCAAAACACAGCCAAAAAACTCATATTGCTATCATCATCTGCAAAAAAAGCTATCAAATGCTTGCGATTTCAGAAGCTAAAATTTCCTGGTCATATTCTTGCTGATTCTGGTGTCAGTTTATAAGAACTATGGTGTGAATAGTAAATTTATTTCTAATTCCTTTCAAGTTCAAAGATCAGTTTCCCTGATATGCCAAAAAAAGTTTTTTATAAATTCAGGAATGATAAAAAATTCCCAATAATGAACGAGAAACAATGCTTGAAAACACTACTTTTTTAAAACTATCAAAGTGGAAGTTGAATGGAGAGTTGGTTTATTGCATATTTATTGATATGTATTAAACTGAAATCAAGACTTATATTATTTGGCTTTATTTATTCATTGCATGAAAATTTTAAAATTTACTATATTTCTATACTTTTGAAAAAAAGGCTTCAATATAAATTCAGAATGAAAGCATTTCTCAATTAATCCTGAGATTTCTTGCACAGCTACTACTTTATAACTTTGCCTGAAACAGTTCATAAATGTAAATGGTATACAATAAACCCTTGCCAAACGTGTGTGTGGGGGGATTTTTGCTTGAGACAGTGACTGATGCGAATGTTTGAATTTTTTTGTCATGAGTTTTTGAATGCCCCTTATAGAATATCCTTTTCTTCTTTGTTTGGATCAGTTCTGTTACAAAATGTCTTAGGTGAGCTGGTCACATGGTACAAGCACCAAAGCATAGTCGGTTCCTGTGTTCAATAAAGTGAAAAGGTTGATAGCAATTGTGGGTAGCATTTTGCTTTAAAAAATAAGACAGTTCCTGTATCTTCATAAACAATTTATTTCTTGTAAGTTAAATGCACATTATCTTGTTTTTCACTATCAGCACTTTTATTGTCAGCTGGTGTTAAAAGATCATTCGATTCTTCATTTGCCATTTCTGACTTACCATTTTCGATTAATACCTGTATTTCTCCTTTCCTATATCTGAAAATCTTTCATCAGGATTGCATATGCAATTTGGATAATTTTTTGGGTTTTATTCCAATCAATGGAAATCCTTTAAAACTGACAACTTCTCACCATGAAATGCCAGCAATCGTTCAGCACTGATGAATTCACTTGTTCCCATGTGAGTTTAAACATTTCTATGCAGTAGTTTACTTAATTGCTTCTAAAATAACATTAGCATGTAGTGTTTTTCTTCATGCTGGCCTTTATAAGCAGAAATGTAAACATTGTTCACATAAATAAGCTTTGAATATTTGTAGGAGCTCTTGATCCATTTGTTTTATAAGAAAGCAGTGTTAGGTGGGAGGAATAAAACATCTGCATTTGGACATAATATTTTGAAGGCTTCATCATCATCATCTCCTGGAGCATTATTGAGAATTAGAACTTCAAAGCTAAGGTTTTACTTTTAAAAGCAATGTTTGATTTTTTAACGAATTATCAAACCATTCATTAAAATAGAAGGCTTTCGTTATCCAAAATTTTCTACTTCTCTTCCACATTATGTGCAACTGCTTAAAATTGTAACCTACAGCATGAAATATTTTAGATCGATAAATAAGAAAAAGCTTGCACTTGAAGTCACCAGATGCATATCCCTTTAAAAAAAAAAAAAAAAAAAAAAAAAAAGTGAGTCTATCCTTAGAAGTTTTAAAAACCTGGGGCAACCTTTCATGTATTTTGTGATAGAGGTTTGTTCTCCCATTCTCTTATAAATTAGGCTCATCTCATCCATATTCAAAATTTGTGTGGAATTTGTTCTTCTCTTAAATAAATTTACAGCTTGGGGCTTGAATTTTTCTGCTGCTGCTTTATCTGTAGTCAGCTTCTGCCTGAAGCTTCATATTGTGAAAATTAAAACAATGCTTAAAGTTCTCAAGCCACCTTTTGCTTTTACGAAAGTCAGTTTTCTGTGATGATTTGTCATCGTTATTTAAAACAAAAGAAAACATACCTAAAGCTTTGTTTCAAATAGCAACACCATCCACAACTTCAGTTAATTTGATCATCTGTTCAAGCTATTGATATTTTTTCCATTTGTGAAACTTTTCTTGAAACACAAGAAATCTTTGTCGAAGTACGCCTTTAAGCTTTGGCAGTAGACCAGATCATCGCTTCATTCTCCTGTATTGTTCTTTTGCTTGATTTGTTTATTGCTGGTTCTCTTGCAAGCGATGAAACATGTACCATTTTTTTATTTATCCAAAATTTAAAATTTCTGAGATAACATCATAATTCTGCATCTTTTCCCTATTTTATTAATCTTCTCCCATTTAGATGCAGTATTGAATTTCTGAAAATAAAATGCAAAAAGAGAAGAGGATAAACAGTGATAAATATGTGATTATACCTCTGAAATGATCACAACTTGGCCTGGGTTACTCACCTAGCTGACAGTGCCAAGCAGAAACCACATGCACGAGTGGTCTCTTGTGAAGAGTGTATTTATATGGCAGTGCAGCTGATGCTGTGCAGTATACCACTTATGTATATAATTCTAGCATTCAACAAATTAAATAGAAACAACTTAGGTAATGCGTGTGTGCAAAATCATGTTTGTCAAATTCGTGATTGGGAAGAGTTTATTGTGCAAAATTATATGTTATTGATAAATGTAGATTTTATTTATTTATTTATGTTAGTATTACTATTTTAATAGCAGAATCACAGCCACGAATGTCCCCAGCTCATCAAGTCATTCAATTAGCCTATCATGCTACAGTTAAAACAGATGTTCCAACATCAGTTATTGCTACTGACAGTAGTAAAAGTCCTCATTGTGGTGAGAAATTGCCTACTGTTGAAGCTATGATTGCAAAAGCTACAGAAAACTATGGTGTTGACATGAGAACTGTGAAAAATAGTACCACTACAACAGAAACTATACTGCATAAAGTTCTTTCTTCTAAAGAAGCAATTTACAGTCCAACAACCTGCAGGTAAAATTTAAGATTTTATATTATTACAAAGAACATTTTTAAACTTTCTGTATTGATACATTTAAAATTGTATAATTTGTCAGTAATGTTAAGTTAAAGATTTCATGACTTTCTCATTAAAATGTTTTGTTTCTGAATTAATAAAATTATTTCCTTGATGGTGATGCATGCATTTGAAAGTTTTATATTTTAGATTTCTTTTCTATATAAGTAAAGTAAATAACGTTATGATATTTTCAAAAATATTTAGTGAAATTTATAGTTAAACACTAGGCTCAAATTAGCAAAATGCCTTCTTGTATGATGTATAATCAGTTTTATCATAATAGTGAAATTATACATGTGAAATTGGAACATTTGACCTCGGATGACTAATGAGAACATCTAGTATGTTCAATGCAATTCTGATTTAATTTTAATAAGTAATTGAAAACTTTATCAGTATTAAAGGGAGCATAAATTCAATTAAAAATTTATAAATGGAGCTGCAAAGAATTCAAATTAAGCAGAATTCAAGGTGATAAATTATTATTATTTACTGATGCCTATTGGTATATACTTTTTCAATATATTTCAACTCTGGTTTCAAAACTAGCATCAGGTTTGCTTTTGCCATTTACAATTTTAGAGTCATGTGTTATTGAATGTTATGATGTGTTATTGAAATGAATATATACGTATAAACTGTGAATATTGTTATTATTAATATATATTAATCTTGAACAGGGCTCGTACACATTTCTGCATAAGGAAATTAAGTACTTTTAAGGACCATTAATGAAAAAAATTAAAGACCTATGAGCAAATGGGAATTGAATAAATTCAATTAAAAATATTATATCTATATTAGAATAATTATAAACGCCATATTGCAGTGATGACAGTAATAGACACAACATTCCAAAAATCTTGGAAAGACTGTGCTAAAGACATTTTTGATGTCAAAAATCATTACTTGTTTTTTAATTTGTTTTTTTAACCTTTTAGCTAAATTTTTGGTTTAAAGCTATTTTTTGTTCAAATATTTGAATATGGTTCACTTAACAGCAGAGCATATGATTATTCTATAAAGACACAGAAAAGTGTATACCATGTCTTTCTATATGAAACATATTAAAAAAATTCTCAAAACTAATTTTACTTCAGAATTTTATATTTATATGTATTACAATGTTTTAAAAATACATTTCAGTTAAAAAGTGAAAGCTTTAACTTATTAAATCAGCAAACAAGCACTTTAAACCAATGTATTAGTCCTTTCATATAAATGAATAAAGTATTACAACTTTATGAAGAGGTTCACAGTTTTCAAAACAAATCCATTTATATCAGGTAGTGAGCTGTGATATGCAGATGGATTTTGATGTTTAACTTTTTCAACGCTTACCAATCTGTGCATATATGTTTTTTCTACGTTTTATATTACATATAACGGTTTTTCATGCATGTTCATAGTTTACATTTCTTTGGTTAATAAAAATTTTCACTTTTAACTTATCACGGTTTTTCACTACAAATATTTAATATACTTACTGTTTTCAATAAGTGCAAGTTTTTTTGCAAGAAAAGTTATTTCACTAAAAGAAAAAATTTGAGAAAATGGTCATGATGTGCAATTAACTGTTGGAAAAGAAACCATTTGGAAATGTAATGTCAGCAGCTAATAAAAAGAAGAAAGGTCTTTGTTCTGAGAATTGATTTAGTGGATCACAAATATAGTAGTTTCTTACTCTACTGCAGATTTTTTATTGTTGGAGCAAGGAACTTATTTCAGTCTGATGGTGTGACAAGTAATTAAACATGGGAAAAACAGTGGTCATCAAGTGGAATAATTACAGTTTGTAAAAAATTAATTTTCTGATATGTCTATGTATGGTGCTATTTTAAAAAATTCCTAATAAAATTGTATGCTATAATAAATTAAATACTTTAGAATTTATGATTTTGTTCAAAAATAATAAATGTAATGAGTATTTTATGATGAAAAACCAGTTACATCGTTAAGCTTCAGTTTCTCACATATGCCATATCAGTAACCATTAAGCATCTTGCCAACACAGAAACATGCCAGATCAGCATTCTCGCCAAGGCCACTGCAGAAGAGAAGTACCAGTCTAGTAACAAGTTGCTTGAAAAGACATTTGCTAATTTTAAAATTTTACTGCTGACGCTGCACTTTGACAAAGGAATTTTCCGAATTTCGTTGCCATATTTATCATTTTATTATCAGAAGATAATACAATTAGCTGCTCCAATAGTGTATGGCCTTTTTATTTTTAGCAATCAAATATAAAACTTTATAAATTTCTCAAAATATCAGTTTTCTTCGTTTGAAGATTTTTAACACTTGTTTAAAATATTCTTTTTGTTTACTGAAGCTTGGATATAAGATGCTTTCTAAATTTGATGGTTTCATACACTCTATAACCAAAACATTATTGCAAATTAAACAAAGAAGTTGTTCGATGCCATCACAATTGAACGTAAAGCTAAATTAGAGAAATATCTATCAAATTTTGGCATATTAGATGCCCTTTTCTGATTTTTAGATCCCGCTTAGAGATTTTGTAACACTGCCATGTGTGTCCACTACCTATGTTACTCAAGTTTAACTATTTATCTATGGGTAAAAATTATTTTATCTTAAAATATGAATGAAATAATATCACTCGTAACAATTATTTGAATACCATCCCTATTTGTATATAACAGTAAAATACAATAATGCATTATTCTTGCATTGTTACCATAAAACGGAAACAGCAGACTGGAAAAACATTATCACCACAATAACTGCAGTGACTACATCTTTATGATTTTGCATATTGCAAAATATTACTGCATTTGCGTCATATTTTGATCCTGAAATAACTTATGCTGAAATTGCAATGCAATACTGCTATTTTGATGTTAGTGGTATTTTTCAGCGCATAAATATAATTTACAGCTCAACTTAGCTGGTATTATAATTTTATATTTGTATTGTACAGAAAATTTAATATATCAATTTAAAGATAATGATGGGATTATGATTAATATTATTTTAAATCCATGTATTTGAATTATATTTTTGCGATTCCAACATTTCGGTTTGTGACCTTATTTGTGTCAGAACCCATTGTTTAAGAAACACTACTCTATACAAAGCATTAGTTTTTAGGGATGCAGACCCCGCTGTTATGTTACTAGGATGGTCATCCAGAGTGGGTATAATTTTTCAAGGCAGAAATTTTTGCATTTAAACATCTCGAACCACTTTTGAAATGTGTCATAAGAAACAGTACTTTATCCACATGCAGCACAAATCTTATGATCTATCTGACATGCATTTTTCCTTTTTTAAGAAACTTTTGAGTCTTCTACTATTACTACTACACTGAAAACACAGTTTATGCAATGCGAGCAGAAAAGACTGTTTTTACACATCTGCTTCAATCAGTGTCACACCTTACCAGCAGTAAAACAAAATAAATGGTAGAAAATGCTGTTTGATTAGAAAATTTGCAGAACTTTCAAATTGAGCAAATAAATTTGTGGGAAAGATTACCAGTATGTCAATATATGTAAACTTTTTTGACGGGATGGGGCTTTCCAGCAGAGCCAGTTTTACATAAGTTAGAGCTTTATTTTAGTCTTTTGAAAGAAATTTTCTTGTAAAGTTAGAAAGCAACAAAATTAAAAAAAAAAAAAATAATAATAATAATAAAGGACATTAGTTTATATAACATTAGTTTTTAAATATATTTTGTAAAATAATAATAATTACAAGTGTAGTAGTAGTACCTTTTTGCCTAGAATTAATCTATTCCAAGAACTAATATTGCTCAATGAAACCACAGAAAATAGGAAATAATGTGTATACACATTTATATAATATATGCATTTATATTGCATATATTGAGATAAATTATAATTCATAAATTACAAAGATTACAACATTAAATAACACAGTGCAATGTATATTTTATAGTGCCCTTTTCCACTCTCACATAGAAGGGCTTTTGATATTTTAACCAAATCTTCTAAATAATTAAGTAATGAAAATGCATATGTGTAGTCATGGTTAGAATTGAATTACTGAGTAATTTAGTTTGCTGTATTTGATCATGTTCTCACCCAGCATACATTTTATAGCTTAAAAACTTTTTATATCTGTAACTTTTAAATCTTTTTCTGGACTTGGTAAGCTGAAGATATGTGGCATAACTGTATTTATGAACTACTAGGGGAAAAGCACCTTTGTTAATGGTTTTAAAATATTTCAGGTCACCTTCAACATCTGATCAAAAAACAGGAAACAGGAAATGTAACAATCATCATCAACAGCAGTCCCTACAAATATTCCAAAAGACTCTTTCATCCACAAAAGAATCTAATTTCAACTCAAATCATTCAGTGTCTCCAGTATCGGAAGTGCATACTGTAGGAAAATCAGTTTCTATGCATCATCCTCATCTTCTGCAAAAAGTGTTAACAAAGGAAATAAGTCATGCTCATCGCTCTAGTGTGTCTCCTCCTTCTCTACAGCCTGAACTTCGACCAATTGTGTTCAGTTCTCAAGCCTCCAGTTCTCAGAAACAATATCCTCTTGATCTGATTGTTACTCATACAGGTAAATTTAACTTTTATCTCAAAATTTGTTTGAAACAATTTCCATCATCTATATTTTTGTCTTCAGAAATTCTTTTTAACTGAAGTCAACAGGCAAAAATATATTAAATAAAGTAAATAATATTGCAGATAGCAAAGCAGAAGTATCTAAGTCATTTGAAGTTTGTGCTGGATCATCAAAAGTTAGCATAGAAACACTTAAAAGTACTCGTGCAGTATCTAGCCCCAAATGCACTTCCAGTAACTCTTATTCAGCATGGAGCAGTGTGCAGATTGGAAGAAACATGTCTATCTCTACAAGTTCCATTGACTTAAGACCCGACCATGTAAAAGCTCAAGATGCACTTTTGGCAAAGAAAAGGCCATCCACTAATGGTCATACAAACAGACAAGGTTTTATGGTGGTACCACCTGCCACGACACTGCAGCAGTCTCAGAAGTCTAATGCTTCTAGCAACAGCCAGCAACTAAAGTTAGATACTGGACATCATGAAAGGTCTTTAAAAACCAGTGTAGAGAAGATATACAGTCGTAAGACTGAAGAAGTGAGTATTGTTTATTACATTAATCTAAATTTTACAATCTGATTTTCAAAGAAATATAATGAAATGGAATCGTGTAGTACCATGACAGTAGTGTAGCAAAACTGACAGAAACCTTATCTTTAAGTATAGGTCAACAATTTTTCATTTACAACCTCTCATATTTTGTTCATGCAAGTGTCACACACTATAGATACTTAATTTTGTTTATAAAACTGTTTTAACTTACAAACATACTGTACCAGATATTTATATAAAAAATAAATATATTATTCTAAATTTATGTTGTTACTCTTTAGAATTATTCAGCTCTTGAATTCAAAGCAATTGACTGAGTCTTAATTTTCTTAATGTCCTAAGTTTGTGTTTATTGCTGTGACCATTTTTTAATTATTATTCCTTATTTTCATTGTAGGAACGCCAAACATTATCATATTCATCCTTGCTTGGCAGTAATAGTTCCATGCCATATGTAGGTCATATTGTTCGTAACAGTGTTTCCTCCACTGTCAGCAAAGCACCGTTGCCATCTACGTCAAATAGCAGCACTCCTCGATGCATGGGTTGTGGAATTTCAGATGCGAAGTTCCTTTGTTCTGGTTGTCGAAAACATTGGTATTGCAGTGCTCAGTGTCAAGTGAGTTATATTAGTAATTTATTTATAACTTATTTTAGAAATGATTAGTTACAAGTTAACTTACATAATTAGCTTAGAATGCAAAATTTGCAAATTTACTAGTATTTGAACTACATATCTGCTCAAGCATTCTCATCTTTTTCTAAATTTCATTTAGATTGGTTGAGAATATATCAAGAATTTTTTATGACCACACAGTATCTCAAGAAAGTACATAAGGATTATGTTTAGTTATTTCTAACACTTTTCACATTTGACATTTGCCCTCCAGAACGCAGATCAATTATGGTTTTTGGAATGTATATCACTTTTTTTTTTCAATGAAGTAATTGTATTTTTCTGAAGTAATTATTTTAATAGTTGAGTCCAATTTCTAAGAATGCATCTTTTAACCCTTAATACGATTTTATTAAAACTATGTGTACCAACAGATCAAATTAAATTAGGTAAGTCACACAAGACTTAACCCGGCGTTACTCGCGCTAATCGTATGTATGCAAGTGCTCACGCCGGGCCTCAGAGGCCCGTTTATGGATTTATATTTTATGCAGGTCATTAAACACCCCATTAAGCATTTACTAACAACATAATTTAAGACAATATTTAGAGCTCTAATTTAATTCAATATATGTATAGAATTTTTTTAAAAAACTTACCAAGTTTTTTGTACAATTGGTACATGTTAAAACAGAATGATCTCCACAGACATTTCTTTCACATTTTGTACATATTATCTTAGATTTTCGGTCCTTTGAATTTGGGCAAATATAGCACCTTTTTCTCTCAATTACTTTCTGTTTTTTAGCAGTAGGTTCTTTGCTCTTGGGAGATAGTTTTTCTTGCAAATGTCGAGGGAGACATGGTACAGCGCACCTCTCCACTGTGTAGTCTTTCAGCAAATCTGTTGCAAGATCTCTCAGAAACTGACTGTGCTGTAAGGATGGATGTTTTGAGCATTGGAGTAAAACTCGAGCATTGATTGCAGCAGTATTTAGCTGTGTAAAGAACAGAACGATCGGCCATCTTTTGCTGATTCTTGTAGATAAATACGCTGTAGACATTTGGTCCACCACATCAACAGCTCCTATCGTCAAATTATAAAATGTTATTATTTCAGGTTTTTTTTTTTTTTTTTTTTGCCTCACCTGTTGTTTGGTCAATAGCTTTGTCGTTACGCATTGTAGATAAGAGGTTAAATTTTTTTTTTTATTTTAGGAACATACGACACTAAAGTCATGTCTTTCTGGAATGCAAACAAGGATGAATGCACCTTACGATTTTTACTGTTCACAAACTCTTTTAGTATTTTCCTCTTGTTCTTTCTTATGGTGCCCACTAGAGTAATGTTTTTCTGAAGGAGATACTTTGCAAGTTCATAACTAGTATACCAGTTGTCGACTGTTACATCTCTCTCAGAATTTAACTTTTCTGTTAACCTTTTGACGACTTCAACTGGTGAATTATTTACATGATACGGGCCTTGGGGCTGAGTACCTACATAAACTTCTAAATTACATGTAAAGAAAGTTCTGGCATCAACAAGAGCGAAAATCTTTATTCCATACCTAGCTGGCTTTTTTGGCATGTACTGTCGAAATGAACAGCATTCTCTAAATGGTTCGAGTTTTTCGTCAATTGTAACATATGATCTAGCTGTGTAAAACTCCTGACAATTATGCACAAATGAGCCAAATACATATCTTATTGGGGCAAGTTTGTCCATTTCTTTTCTCATTTGCCTGTTTCTAACATCATCAAATTTTATGCATCTCATAAGAAACAAAAAACGATTATGAGACATGGTCCTGTGAAATAGTTCTATTCCCATTCCCTCAGTACGCCATAAATCTCTCAGATGCACATGGGATGATTTATGAATACCACATAAATATAGCAATCCAATAAAAGCTTTAATTTCGGAGAGTTTTGATTTTTAGCATCGCATTCTCTCTGAAAGTTGTCACTGATAGTGTCAATATATATATTTGTACAGGCGACGATCGTATTCAAGATATTTTCATCCAGTAATAAACTCGAAGACTCAAAAGGAGAAGTTACGTTTTTTGCCACTCGAACATTTCCAGGCAACTTTGAAATAATATTTCGCGATAAAGTTCGAACTTTTTGATGAAATTTTGTTTTCTTCCAAATTGTCTTTCCATCTTTTCCAATAAAACAATCACAAACTGAATTAGAATCAATAGCGTCCTCTTCATCAAACTCGATTTCTTCTTCAGACAACGTATTATGCTCACTAAACCTTTCATCGCAATCAGACAATAAATCATCATGTTCGATAGATTCATAATCAGTCGATACTTCATCTAGCAAATTACGTAATCGTTCCATTTCTTCATCATATGTTAATCTGCGAGCCATGTTGTGCTACGAACTCAGTGCACTTCAAACTCGAAATTAGAAACACGTTTACTCGCACCAGGCCTAAGCGACCAGAAAACTGGCTTTTTGTCCGAACAGAATAAAAAAAAAATTCCTGAAACACCCCCTTTGTGTCAAAGGTCACCTTACACTCAGCTAGACCGGGTGTGGTCCATTTCCGTATTAAGGGGTAGGGTTTACATAGCTTTAACAAACTGATCGGACCTCGGGTTAATTTTGAATATTCCTTCCACAACATAAATAATATTCGATTTAACAAAATTGCAACAGTGGCTGTTTGGCGACACTTTGCAAAAATCATTGCCATTTTATTGCTGGGCCTTAAACCTGCATACAAAAATTATTTATTTACCTATATATCTAAAAGGTATCAGAAATAACAGAAATGTCTCAATAGCCTTTCAAGGTTAAAGGTTAAAATTAGTATAACAGAGGATGGCTCTGTCAACTAGAAATGTCCATTCATATACAGTGATTTGGTCTCATTCCCTTCTCAATAAATTAGTCAGAAAAGCTAACTCTTAATTGCACAGTTATGTGTGAGCAATTAGGTGCTGACCCTGAAGTGAAGGTTACATAATTAAGACAAATACTAACTTTCATAAAAATGCTATGATCTTTTATGCTGGGCTTTGGATATGGAATATTTTTAATAAAGTATATGCAAAGCAACTTTCATAAGAGTCAGTGTGAAATCAAAATTATCATTAATGAAAGAGCAATTTAAAAAAAAGAATAAAGAAAATAATCCATATTATAATAAACATAAAAGTGCTGTCTAACAAATTATGTGTATGTCAAACAGTTTCAAGTAGGAAAATAAAAGTTCATTTGATTATATATATTAAAATAAGAACAAAAAGAAGAAGAAACATCAGAATTAAGAAACTAAATTATAAATAACATTAAAGAACGATATTCACTTCAGAACTCGAACAATGCCATTGAGTTTAGACTCATGTAAAAAAAGTTGAATAGAACTGTTTGCTTTTTGGCAAAGTTCATTCTGCTTTTATCCCATGTAATTTTAGACAGCTTTGTTTAAACTGCTTTATGATATTTTTTTTTTTTTTTTTTTTTACTGTTCCACAACAAACACATTTTTTTAGACAAAACCATTTAATCTGCAGCCTGGTTAATTGGGAGTTCACAATAATAGACTTCAAGGCTCTTAGTGCCCCTGTTCAAGGTAGAACCACTAAAAAGAAAAATACTGAAGTAGAAGAATGATATATATATATATATAATGTTGTATGAACTTTTAAATCCATTTAGTGCGAATACAAGTTATTATTACTTGCGCAATTGCTGCAAAGTTAGTTAATAATAATTTATTTCCTAAACCATATTGATTAATTGATTATATTATCTCCTAAGTTTAATTAAAGTAGAATTATTTTAAAAGTGTGCATCCATACTGGCAAGTTATATTTTGAAAGATGTTTTGAAGTAATTTGAAAGCAAAATGTTAATAATGTTTTAACGGGGACTGGAGTTAAATCATCACGAAGAATAATATTACAATTGCAAAAGTAAAAATTAAAACATGTAATTATTGTCATTGATCGGAAATTAGTTGACTTTTCAAGGGGAACAAACCAACTCCCGTTCAATGATCAATAATTGATAGAAATACGTAAATATGAAAGTGTTTCGTCTTTACTTGAGTTATAAATTAAAGCCAAACCGGCAATTCTAGTCAGGCCAAATATTTCCGCGAATAGTTGTTACTCAAAGAACTGATTCTCATGAAGCATTTTAGTCAATTCAATTTGGAGTAAAAATCAATTACTGTAGAGAAATCTTGTAAAACTCGAGTAATCGTCCCCGACACTATCATCTTTATGTATTTGAGTACTATATTATTTGTAGAAATTAAACATTGGAAATTGTCATTATGAAATCGAAATCAAAGTAAAGTTGAAATAAACATAGAAGATTATAAAAAAGATAAATAATGCAAACTTTGCAAAAAACAAATCAAAGAGAACATAAAAAATAATATAAAAAATAAAATAGAAAATAATATAAATAAGATCAGTGAATGTACATGAAGATATAAAGGCCAGAAAGGTATTAAGTAACTTACATTCTTTCTAGTGGGGGAGTTGGCAGTGTGTTCTCTTCGTGTCTGACTCAGAAGTGTAGGGTGTCCGAAAATTCTTAGCGGCAGTAGGGGCTTTGAATTATATCAGTCGGCAAGACTTGGGTGAAGAAATTTATGGTAGTGGGTGGGACTTGGAATTCTTGAGGGATGTATTTTGTGGAGTTCTTATCTGAGGTTACTAAAAAAATGGGCCTATTTCCTGCCTTTAGACTGTCTACTAGCTCTTGGATAACGAAAATGCCTTTTTCCTTTCTTAAATTCTTAATCATTGCGACACGACAATTAGCCAGAAATTAATTAATTTCCATTCACTAGTATTTTTGAAAAAATCTTAACAGACGGTCTCTCTCAGATAAGAACTCCACAAAATACATCCACAAATAACTTTTGAAATATATGTTTAAAACTAAAGGTATAATAACCAAGTAAATAAATTAATGAATGCTGATACAGAGACTAAAGCTGCATTACATATATCCTAATTCTAATGTAT